CCCGGAGTCCGGAGCCCTTAACGTTGCCCATCCATTTATCCCATCGCCAATACACTCAGAGTCCATTCCCTCATCATCGTCCGGCCTCGTCGAAATTCCCTCCAACAATATCAGCACTCCGGAGTTAATTCAGCCGCCTCCCATCGGTACTGTCACAATGTCGGACACTCTACCCTCTCGCTACGACAAGCACGCACCTCGCTTCGATCCGGAACAGCCGCGGACCCTACTTCGCTATTTCGAGGACCTAGCGGACTTATTTGCCGCTCATCCAAATGCGGTCCCGAATGAAGCAACGAAAAAGGCGGTAGTGGTGAAATACGTGCCTATGTATGAGGAGGAGCTATGGAAAGGCGTCCCGGAATTTTCGGACGACTCCAAGAGCTTCGAGGACTTCAAGGGAGCGGTCTTGGCGTTATACCCAGCCGTTAAGGAGGACCAGAGATATAGCGTCGGGGATATGGACCGTGTAGTAGGGGAAAGGCAGCGTGTGGGCATCCACAATTTGGCGGACTTAGCGGCATTCCATCGCGACTTCCTACTTATCACTCGATACCTGCGCAAAAACGACATCATATCCGTTCGAGAGCAAGGGAGAGCGTTCCAGAGAGGCTTCCAGCCGGAGTTATGGAACAAAATATTCAGGCGCCTCCAGATTAAGGACATAGACCATCAACCGGACACTCCGTACAACGTAGACGAGGTTTACAAGGCGGCGGAGTTTATTCTTCATGGAACGTCGGCCATAGGAACCACAGAGAAGCATGCGGAGCCATCTCGGAGTGCTCCGAGCGCACCAGTGGTGAAGACGGAGGACCTATCATCATTGGTGGAGGTCATCACAAAATCCATCAGTCAAGCTCTAGTAGCCGCGGTTCAGCAGAACGCTGCGATGGCCCCTGCGACGTCCAACAGACCTGCCCCCATGAATTACCACTGCATTTATTGCGGGGAGAGCGACCACTCGATCCGGAGATGTCCCAAGGTCGAGGAGGATATTAGGGCCGGTCGGTGCAAGCGGAACGCGGAGGGACAAGTGGTTCTGCCGAGCGGAGCGATGGTCTCAAGGTCTATGCCAGGAGCGACGATGAGGGACCGCATATTAGAGTGGCACCGCCAGAACCCTGGGCAGACAAGTGTCCATTTATTGGATACGATGATATGGGAAGAGGTGCGAGCATCGGAGGCCCCTCAGACCACGGATATGTTCCATTTGGACCAGCGGGAGCGAATTGAGGCCTTGGAGCGGGAATTATTTGCGTTGAGAGGGAAAGGGAAGCAGGTGTTTGACGGAGTCTACGTTCCTCCTCCGAATAGGTCTTCCAACCCCTCCAAGGAGTCCGGAGTTGGTCCGACAGGTCCCGCACCCTCCAAAGCTAAGAGTCAACCGGTACGAGAACAGCCAGTGGCCAAAGCAGTGCGGCCGGCAATAAATCGAGAGTCCCCACCTCACATGTCAGAGGGACCAATCCATCCATTCGCCGGTGCAAGGGACGTCAACAGGCCTAGGCAGGCAATTCTCCGGAGTGTCGAGAAAGGCTCGGCTCAAGCAGCAGACGCGTCACAAGCCAAGGAGCCAGCCTACCGCACCCAGGCCCCTGTTTATAATCCTCGCATCTCGGACCTGGTGTTTGAGCGGTCGCTCAAGACTCCGAATATTTCGTTGACCTCTGAGGAATTATTATCCATCGCTCCAGAGGTCCGAGCGAAATATAGGGACATTGTAACACCCAAGAAAGTGCCCGCGCCGCCCGCTGTTCGACTCCAAGCCACTATACAGGAAGTGGAGGACGAAGACGATGGTCCGGAGTTGCCGGACGTGGAGCAATTAATTCACAGCGGTAGTTCGATCCGTCCTGGAGTGCTGGTGGTACCCGACCCCTACGAAATTTATCTCCGGAGTCTAGGTCCGGGGGAGACGCCGAAGCAGTTGGTCGTGGCCAAGGAGTCGCATGCTCTGCGGTCTATTATGGGGCTCATAGACAACCAGGAGAAGGTCGAGGCAATTTTAGATCCAGGTTCCCAAATCGTCGCAATGTCCGAAGCAGTTTGCCATTCTCTAGGACTTCAGTATGATCCCACCATTCAGCTACAGATGCAGTCGGCGAACAAGACGATCGATATGTCGTTGGGACTGGCGCACAATATTCCCTTCCAGGTCGGAGATATTACCGTTTACCTCCAGATCCATGTTATTAGGGATCCGGCCTACGACATTTTATTGGGACGTCCCTTCGATGTATTAACGGAGAGTTGCATCAAAAATTTCAAAAATGAGGACCAGACGATCACGATCAACGACCCCAACTCTGGAATTGTGTCCACTATCCCGACATTTCCAAGAGGTCGCCCTCGATTTCGAGGCCCCGCCTCTAGAGCGGGATGATTTATTTTTAGGCGACTCAGACGAGGAGCAGTGGGCGGCCCTTGTCGTCGAAGAGACAGATACCCCCGCCCGGTTTCAGATTTCTGCGTTCCATATTTTAGATCATCAAGAAAATAGCAAAACCTCAATACAAGATTCCATTCCTTTCCTTTATCTCTCCGCCTGCGAGTCTCCAGTGGTCCGGTCTTATTTTTCATCCGTTAATTTATTTAGTGGCGTACCGAATTCGCCAGTCCCGATTTTTGCTGCCACAAAGAAAAAGTATAAACCAGTCGCCAAGAAGGTCCGAGCGGTCCCTGCGACGTTACCCAAGGAGTATAGAATCCAGCGTAATATTGTAGGAGACCCGCTGGCTGACATGCCGATTTTATCCACAATTCCCCCTTCCTTCCAGCCAACCGGACGATATCACAAGAGCGTAG